ATAAATCATGGGCAACCGTGTTTATAACCACGGAGAAATCACAAGCACCCGAAAAATAGGAATTTCATTATTTGAACTGAAACAAGCAATTTGTAACCAGCCAACTTTTTCACCCCGATTAATAATCAGCTTCTCAGACGTTGTAAATTCGAAACGTTATTCTTCACAGATTTTATATATAATAATAATAATTTTTGCTTTATTCCAAAAACAGTAATAATGATACAGCAAGGAATTTTCAGCATTCAGTACAGTATTGCATCTAATTTACTCAAAAACGACAACAACAAACAAAAAAAGTAGATAAACGGAATAATTAATACATAATAATGATAACAAAACGTTTTTATAGGAGCTATGTAGCAATTACAGTAGAGGATAATGAGAAAAATATAAAATTATAGTAATAATAGTAATAACAACTAAAATAAAAATAGCAAAGTTATAATTAAACGATAGAAAGGGTGACACCATAGAATTACAGAAAGATGAACAATGAAAGGGTCGATTCACTATGCTAATTACATAGTAACTTATATGTTTCACGTCTAACAGTGTCTTCATCACATAAAATACGGGCTAAGTACGGTATTGTAGAATTTTTGTACTTAGTGGTACGAGCATATAATTTCTTATATTGACTTCTCGTTCTACCTGATGAGATACAAGGGGATAATTGTGAATAAAGAGGGTGCAGAGGGTCTGACAGTACGGCCTTTGCCCAATTTTTACAGGAATTTACGTGTCTCTCGACTATGGTATTGGCGAGATCACGCAGTGGCAAACCACAAGCCCTACTCACAGCATTTAATACCCTTCGTAAAACGGCATAGTCTTTTTTAAGAAGCCCAGGAAAGATTAATGGAGAACAATAAAGTAAAATGGGTAAAATACAGGAGTTTAAAAATCGCAGAACTAAAGGTTGGCTGATACCTTGTTGTCTTAACTTTTTAATGTAGAAGGTAAGACGAAACATTTTCTTAGAGACCAATAAAATGTGAGATGACCATGAAAGGTCCGAGGAAAGAACTAATCCAAGGTATTTAATGCTTGATTTGGTTTCAATTTCTGTACCATCTATGCTACAGGCATCATGGGAACTAACTAGTTCATGTATGTCACGTCGATGGTTGAAGGTAAAGTTAACTGCCTGACATTTGGAAGGATTTAACATAAGACCATTTGACTTAGACCACATGCTGATGTCCAACAAAAAGCTATTAAGTTTGGAGCAGTCAGACTCAGAAGTGATAGGCAGTGATACAGTCAGATCATCAGCATATTTGACAAAATTGGTTTCGTTTAAATGTGGCAGGTCATGTAAGAAGAAAGAAAAAAGAAAGGGAGAGAGGACGGCACCTTGAGGAACACCGGCTTTTGTAAGCAAAGCAGAAGAAGATTTGCCATTATATGCAGTATACTGCATTCTATCAGAAAAATAAGAATGCAACCAACTCTTAGCCCAGGATGCTGTGTGCGTCAAGGAGAGCTTATTTAATAAAAGGCCCCTAGGTACAGAGTCAAACGCAGATGTGTAGTCTAGGAAAGCACCACGGACATATTTGGCACCTTTGTCTAAACAAGAAACAACATTATGATATAAGACAACCGCAGCATCCAAGGTACTTCTACCATGTTTATATGCAAATTGCTTAGGGTCATTAAAAGCTTTCAATGAAGGTTCAAGACGAAGTAAAAGTAGTTTTTCCATCAATTTTAAAAAAGGAGAAGTAATTGCAATAGGCCTAAATTTACTATCGGTACCAGAAGATTGTTTTGGTATAGGGACAATTTTAATGTTTTTCCATGCAGAAGGTAGAACATTACTGGAAAAGGAAGCATTAAAAATATTAGTAAGAGGGTAACACAAAATATCAGCACAGTTCCTGAGGACAATGGCAGGTACGCCATCAGGACCAAGGCTTTGGGAAGGCTTAAGAGAACGGAGACATTTAAGCACATCAAGGGTATTAAAACCATTAAAATTATTGTCTATGTGATTTGTATCATTAGGAAGGATATCGTCAGAGGAGCGTATGAAAGACTTATTAAGATTATTAACATTAAGAGATTGTACAGAATTACACCGCTTACCGCTAGTTATTTCTTTAAAAAGTTTCCATAAACTAGAAGGGGTTTTACATGACAAAAATCTTTGGTTGTATAAAACATTTAGTCTGTGCATTTCGAGTTTTATCAGAGGATTTAGCTTTTTTACACCTGACTTATCATTTGTTTTGAACAACAGTTCTTTATCTCTACGGAGCTTTTTGAGATATGGAGAAGAGAAACGGTCAAAACGAGTGAATAATGTTTCTTTAGGACAACATATTTCCAAACAGAATTTAAGATAATCTGTGGTGTTTGTGATTGTGTCATTTAATGTTTGTTCTGTAAATAGGTCCCAGTTAGTATCTATCAACATGCATCTGAGTTTGCTTAGATTATCTTGTGAGTAGCATCTCCGTTGAAATTTACTGTAGAGGTGAGAGAAGACACGTTTGTGTGATTTGGAATATATTTTAGGCAGTACACGTATGATGCAGTGGTCAGAGTTCAATACAGGAGCACGTTTGCGAGCTTCATATATACCAACATCATTGATGAATACTAGATCTAGTGTTTTTTCGAGACGGGTAGCAAAGTTAACAATATTGTCATGGCCAAGTGATATAAGGAAGGAGTGATCACAAGAGTTAAAATCGCCAGTCACTATTGATAAAGAGTTCTCGAAACAAGCTGCAGCAAAAGCGGTGAATTCATCTGCGAACATAGATAAATCCGATATGGTACAGCCAGGAGAGACATAAACATTAGAAATATAAATGAATTTGTATTTTGACAAGTGTCTCGGGCGACATCTGACAGTGATGCAATCAATGTAGTCATTCGAGAATTTGAAACAAACATTGTTAGAAATAGACCATTTTGAGTGAATAAATGTAGCTACTCCACCGCCGCATTTTTTCTTGGAACAAACACGGTCTTGTCGGAATACATTAAAATCATTTAAAGATACTATATTGTCATCATATGAGTCATGAAGCCAGGTTTCTTGTAGAGTTACAATACCAGTATTATGATAAGTTTCGGACAACAACAGGGACTGAAAATCCAGAATTTTGTTAGGCAGTTACCGACAGTTCGTACTAACGATAACCGGAACAGTAGTTTGATGTATGGGTGTAGATTTTAAAGCACGTTGCCAACCACCATGGTGCTTTTTCTTGAGTTTATTGCAAATATGAAAGTTTTTAGGTTTTAAGCATTTTATATAATCACGAGAGTGAATGATACGATTAGAATGCATAATTTTAAATGTAAACACCAACAAAATATGAGTAAATAGATGCAAAATGTACATGGAATATGGTAGCCCAAAATGTTCAAACAGGCCGCCAAGGTCAAGGTCGTGGTGAAATTCTTACCGAGCACTCACCAGATCATCGTACGTTAGCCGTTTTTCAAATCCTTTTGAAACAAATAAAATGGTTGTTAACACCGCGTTTACTACAGGCAGTCCTAGTTCGTGCGTTTCGATCTAGTACAGTAGGCATTAACAATCATTTAGGGATTTCCTATTGCTTCCTAATTTTGCTTCCAAAAGTACATACAAACACCACACATTCATACTTCACATGTGGCTCACCCTTGCTTGATTCTCTCACAATATACCTGATTTTTTAGCTGACAACAGACACCTTGTCGAAAAGCTCCAAAGCTTTTTAAACTTCAAACCAGCTTCTAAATTCTCTGGGTTTAATTAGTTCTTCGAAAACTTTGCTAATATCAACCCTGATGGTGCTCTCTTCACCGGATTCATTCGTAGATTGTTGCATGCTGTAAACATGAACGTGAGAGACATTTTTTTCCAGATTCCTACATATTAAGTAACCAACTGAGCCAGCAGCAATAACGGCAACCAAAAATGAACTGGAAACAATGGCTTCTGCTTCCCAAACATGTTCACGTGCATAATCTCCAAGATTTCTACACAGTACTAATTCATTAATAGCTGAAAAACAATTAAAACACTGAAACCATGCATGAATGCAACGTATGAAACAATTACAATGAAACGAATGCACTGACCTGGTGGCAAAAACTTTCGAAACAAACGAAATAACTAATTTCAACAGAAACGGTAACAATAATAAAGTGAAACGCAACATTTGTAAACAATGTGCATCAAGATAAGTTGTGAATAACTGTTGGATAAACGGAAAAACCAATACGTAAACGAACAGCTACGGAACTGCAATCCAACATGGCCGACTAACATGGACGAAAATGACCTTTGAGCGTCTCACTCCATCAATGACCTTGTACATGGCGTTTAATTTCTGCCCATTGTAATGTAAAAAATTCCTAAGGCGAGATATGTGGTGTTATATTACTCCTTTTTGAGTGTCTTCACCAATACCAGGCCTATCTCCTGGCATTTATAAGGAATTATGGGAGCCTTTTCTGCCCGTGTGTTCTACTTTTCGGTATATCACTATCACAGCTACAGACTCATTCATAGTCTTCTTGATAACACTTTTCACTTACCCTCGATGCCCACCTACTGTTGGTAAGTCTAGCTATCAAAGCGAGATAATCATTCCAAAGCCTATGCAATCTATTCAAATTTAGCAGTTATGCAGCAGCGCTAGGTAGGTAAGTTCACCTTCAGTTGCAGTTCCAAAATAACTATGCCAAACTATACTGCGTCATTCGTGTCACATATTGGCAGCTCACTTTGTATATCGGATAACTGTCTGTTGAAAAATGTACCTTTCGTGGAGTATTCCAAAACCTTGATCTTGTGGTCTTAGTTTTGTCTTTCTAATTTTAATGACCTTGAAATATTGAGAGTTTGTGGTAATTTAAATCTGCTATTACATGTTAGTAAATTTTGTTTATGTTACTGTTTTCAGTTTTTAAAATGTTCCTCATAAACACGAATACACGACAAAAGTTGCTCACAAAAATGAGAGGGGAAAGTGAACAGTTAATACATTTCTCAGGCCTTTTCACAATTATTCCACAACTACGGAATTAGGTTCTGCACAGAAGAAGCATGTCATTCAGGTTGCTTGAGTAACTAGTCATCACTGTGACTTGACCTCTATATCACTGAGGCAAAATACTTCGTTTTGGGTAACTGTTTAAATTTAAATAGTTATGGTAAGTTAACTTACCGTATTTTTCGCGATGTTATTCTGTGGCAGCAGTTTGAAAAACAGCCTCCAGCTGACCAAGTATACTGAAATAATTCATACGACTGTTTGTTGTACAGCATTTGGACTGAAAACCTAATTCAGTCATTCTTACAATAGGCATGATAAATTGTATATCCATCAGAATAAAAATTTAAAACACTGAAGTGGGTTCATTAGCGAATTTAGGTTATACGACATAATGTTTCCTATTTTAACCAGAACTTCACCAATATTTTACAATTTTGTCTGATATCTCACCAACATTTTACCACTATTGGGTTAATAATTTACAATGGTTTAACCAATATGCTGCCTAGGCTTAATCAATATTTTCAATTATAAAACCATCACTTTCCCATTTTAACCATTATTCAAGCAATATTTTCCTATTTCTGCTTTATCTAACTTGGACTTGGTCATTTATTGCACTAGACCAAAACCGTGCCCATTTAACGATTATTTATCCATTTTTCGTCTACTTTTCTCCAACCGGGATACTTTAGGTCATATATCAATTTGTTTAAGGAAATCATTTACAGTCATCGTTCTGATATTTTGGTCAGTTGGTTCCCTAATGTCTGTTGTTTTATTTTGGTTTGCAATACCTAGATTCCAGACTGTAAAACAACAAGTTCTGTTTAACCTTTAGCAGGTGATAAAAAGTCACTGGGTAAGGCTACCGCGGCTCAAACATCACTGTAATCCGTCTTATTATTTTTGTCTTACTGCTGTTGAGTGTATTGCTGCTACACATGCTTATCTATTTAGATAAGGCTACAAGCAACGGAATATGTCACGCATATAAGAATGTCCACTCGCTATTCCTCTTATCAGTAATCGTACCTGTGGTGCTTTATTCGCTTTTCTGGTTTTAAATCTAAATACATAAATGCCAAACAAAATCACACTGCTCTTCTGTATCTAGGAGCCTGCAACATTGCCTATATTTTTATTCACAGTAATTTGGTTGCTTAATGTATTTACTCTGAGTGAATGTTTGAGCAATGAAACTTCAATTTTAGTTCAGTCTACTTTTGGATACGTATTTTGAGTAGAAGTATTAGTGCTAGAGGTAACGATTAAGGACCTGTAAGCGTGTGCACCTGTTTGACAATTTTAATCTTTGGTTTTTCGAGGATTTTTCGGTGTTTCTAAAATTCATCATTTTTCTTCTCATAAAATATTTATCTTGCCGTCATTTCTAGAGTATTTGGACTCATATTCGAAAAAAGGAGAGAGGAAACTTTTAGCATTTAAGCATCGGATTTGTACATGGAGATCTTCAGACTTGGTGAGGTTGGACCACCTAAGGATGACGACTTTCAACGCTTCAAGGGCATGGCAACAGATGACACGAATTGGAAACGGCGATACAGGAAGAAAAACGTGGAAGTTTACACCCGGTCAACCCCACATACCAGCATGAAAATGATCAAAGTGGTTGCCATTTTTCCTGATGTTCCTTCCAACGTGATATATGATATGATGCATGACAATTCTTACCGCTCATCATGGGATAATACTATGCGTGAGTCCACTCCAATTTGTCGCGTAACATGGAATTGCTACATCGAGCATTTTGGATGTAAGTTTTACTTTCTCTTGATTTCTGTAGTTAGAGCTCCATTCGCGTTTGCTAATCGTGATTTCGTTCTGCTGCGAGCCTGGAAACCGTATGAACATGAGTATATAATCTACAATAGGTCTGTTTTTCATAAGGTGAGAATTTGGCATTTTTATTTCACTGCTTAGCAAGTACCTCCAAGAGCGGATTATGTACGTGCTTTAACGTATATTACTGGCTATGTGATTACTGCTCTCAGTCCTTCTTCATGTCGGTTGATATATCTAACACAAAATGATCCTAGAGGTGAGAATCTTCTCTAAGCTTTCAATTTATGCAAACGAACTTAAAATTTGTTATATGTTCCATAATCTCTATTGATTTCAACCCACCATACTTTATTTTTTACATGCCATATCTAAAACAGCCGCATGTTTGCCTGGAATTATTAAACCTCATTCAGTTCACCTATCTTATTGATACAGCAAATATTTCCTTCCGGCCTGACAAGTAGAACTCTTTGCACATGTCAAGCAGCTTCTTCATGTTCCTGCGTGACGGAGATTTATAAAATGTTTCAACTACTTTCGAATTGCTACTTGTTCTAATCTCATTGATCACCAAACTTAAAGGAAACTGAAAGTATTCTGCAGCTACCGAGTGGAAATTTTAAAATCTGTATAGTTTTTGCAACGACATTAAGACACTGACATTGGGGGCTCTTTTATCAGGGAAAATTCAGAGCTAATCAGAGTCGTATGGTACTTTATCTCCCTCGTGAAAAGTATAATATTGCCAAGTTATGATGAACGATTTCAGTTCCGGAAATATCATAATCTTATAGTTCGATATTTTTAATGATTGCACAAGAAGTGCCATTTTAATTAGGAAGATCGTGAATTTTACAGAACTTTTTAACTTTTACTTGAAGCAAGACTAAATAAGACAATTAAACTCAAACTAAAAACTCTATCCTAAAGTCAAAGCTTGAAGAACACACGCATACCTTCAGCTTCAATCTGGTCTAACCAAGTCGTAGATTAGGTGTTCATTATTTTCAGAGACATTAAAGAGTCTTGTACAACTTTTTGAGGATTGCATGAGGGAAGCAAAAGTTTGATCTTTTGGAACGCGAAGTAATGAAATCTTTGTATTTTTAATTTATGCGATATTGATTGAGTGACGGCAGTGCAGTTAAGAATTATATCAGTATTCAAAATTTTCCATTTATTTGTTATAATGTAACCTCTTCTCAACAAGTTTAATACTGAAGAAGTTTTAAAGATCAGACTGGCCGTAATTTATAATTAGATGTAAACTATTGACGTCATTGTGTGGCAAGTAACTATACATGATGTATTCAAGTACAATAGAGTGAAAATCGTCCTGTGGAGAAAAGAAAACTTCCCAGACACCGAAGTTGAATATTTCCAGAGATGTTTCATGCTTCTTAAGATTTATTATTTGGCTGGACATCTAACTCACCGTTATATGTGTGGAATAATTGAAGTTGATACAAACCATTTCCAGAGTCAATGTTAGATTCTGCTCAAACATTTGTATTTTGCCAAAACATTTTTGGTCTGGTTTACGTCATTCATTTATGGTGTATTTTTGTCACCATTTAATAAGGTTGTTTAATTCTCAAATATGTTTTATTTGTTATTATACCATCTAATAACAACAGTTCTTAGCGCACCGTGAGGGTGTGTCACCTAGCATGGTGGCTACATTGCAAACTTGACTGACAGAATTCAGTCTGCAGTAAACAAAGGACTAGATACACGACACTAGTTAGTGCTCAATCAAAATACCATATTTTCTTGAACTTGATTATCGTACAACGAATCAGTCTACTATAGGATACCTTTTATTGACGAGACCTATTTGTTGTAAAGTTAACACAGTTAAGTGCTTCAAGTGTTAATTATTTGATTTAATATCAGTACTCATGTCATTTAACTGTACTCTTAGACCAACAATGACAGAACTAGGTTCACCGAAGACATAATGCTGTAATCTCTTAGAAGTCGCTCAGACCTTTTCTTCAAATCCTTTCAGGTAATGTAGATATCGAATTCAACTATCTGACTCAAATATACCCAAGTAATTCCACTTTAAGGATGTGTTTTTCAAAAAAAGTTAATGATAAAACAGGAAACCAAAAGATACACTGTTAAAGATACCTGTTTTAGTTACTTTTAGCCACACGGTTAGATACGACAATAACTGGTTCATTTTACTAGGCTGCATGCAGAAGTTTCACACTTTTGATAGGCGCTAGAAAGCATTATTTTAAAGTCAGTTTTGGAATATTACTATTTTAGATATCGCTAAATGTCACAAGTACATGAAAATTTGTCTACCTAAATTTCGGTTCTATGTGTTTTCCTTAGACAAAGACAGTAGTACTAGGTTATACAGAGCTTGACTGGAATATCTGAAACACCAAACCGAGAAACATATCAGCCAACAGCTATCAATTTGGCATCTCAATGACACAATTTTTATCCCTTTGTTTACAAAAGTAAATATGTCTTTTTTGAATAAGGTATCTTTCTTGATGATAAAGGTAAAATTTATCATTAAATTATGCGCTATAAATGTTATTTCATACCATGATTCAGCTAAAACTCTAAGATAATAAATGCGATAAAACTATGACAAAGGGACTACTATGAACGGTTTTGACTCATGAGTCAATACCTAACAAGAAGTTTCAAAGAAGAAGTGAAATAGAGTCTTTCTATTCTTATATTAATTGTCTTTTTAGAGTGTTCTGCTTTGTGTTTCAGAATTTATTTACCTACTTATTTAGTGTGTAGTTTGAACGCATGTGGACTTAAAAATTTTAATTATTGAAGCCTAGCTGTTCAATAAAATTAATGTTTGGAGTTGGTCTCATTATTTTGCAATGAAAACTGCATTGTAAACGTGTAACTTGGAACGTATACAAACCTTTTAGTCGTTTTCCATGTATGAAAATTTAAGAGGATTAATACTCATCTAATACCAAACAGATTACGATTAGCGATTCCTTTAAGTATTTTACTGTTTCACAATCGGGAATCATCAATTAATTTACTCGTCGTAACTATCGTAAAAGTTGTAAAATACTTCTATCCTTTAGTTTAGGAAGGTTTTTCATAGTTTATCAGCGTTTTCAGTTCAGATATAATACAAAGTAATAAATATGGTGAGAAATAACAACTAACTGATCATTTTTATCTGTTCTATCTTGTAGGTGACATTCCATCATGGGCAATAAACTTGGCAACCACCAAGGTGTGTCCACGTCTTGTGAAGACATTACATCGAGCAGCTCTCCGATATCCTGCATGGAAAGCCCAAAATCGGCCAGAATTTGCACCTTGGCGAAATCCTGAACAACAGGATAAGACAATACCTGAACTATGTCCAGCAGATATACTAAAGGAACCAGATTTCTCACTGAAGAAAGTTCATGAGAATCGTGCCACTAAGGAAGGTGCTTTGAAAGAAATTGGATTACCACCGGATACAAAGATTGATGAAGATAGCTCTTAGCTATGAGTTAAATATGAATGCTCTTAAACTAATTTGACAGAGCTTTACACTTATCTATAATTTTATTTCTACCCTTGGATGTCAAGATTTTTGTTTGGACGTTGTCGATGTGCTAACTTTAACTGCACTTAGACGGTTTTTGCATGTAATGTATATTGACTAGCTGTGAATAGGAATTCTGCGGCAAGGAAAGCTGTGCTTTTTCTTTTTTCACCTTTAAAATAGTGGAAATTCTTCTTTTCATTGATTTTTCTACTGTTCTAATAAGAATCCCCATAATTATTTAAATAACATACGATTATCTTCAGGACTTTCGAGCAGCTAATATCAGTTAAAGTACCGTCTAAAAACAAAAATTAAGGGGACTAGGGGTATTCTTTGGGTATACAAAACAGAGTCAGTTATAATTTGAGTTTAGGTTGCAAGTATGTATATGTATATGTGTAAATTTGCTCCGAAATTATATTACCAAACGAAGCTGTAGGAAGAGGTATGGACACACCACTGATTGTTAACGCCCTTTAAACAAATTGTGAAAGCTAAAGAACAATCTAGAAAATCATACACTCCTGTTATTTTTCGTAAAGCAAACACAGTATGGTTCACAAAAATAAACTTATGAGACATCTGTTGATGTTGCAAAACTGACAACCGCTTTGTTGTGTAACATAAACTAGCATTTCAAAAGTCTGATTCTTCAAGAAATTAAATAAACACAATAATTTTAATTACATTTATTATTAGTCGACATAGATCATGAGGAATTCGGGAGGTACAGTACAACAGATATTTAGTGTAATTTTGTCAGTTCAACAGATATTTGTTTGTTATGATGATGTCTGATTTCCCACAAACTGGAAGATATGCAAATGAAAAGCAACAAGTTGGCAGAACAAGCATCAAAGATAGGACTTGATGTGAACATAGAGAAAACAGAGGTGATGAAGATTCCTGGACAACAACAACAGGCAATAATCAGCATAAATGGGAGGAACTTGAAAGAAACAACCTCTTTAACCTACTTGGGGAGTATCGTTTCAACTACAGGCAGACGGAATTGATGAGGATATCAAAGCAAGGATCGGAAAAGCAAGACAAGCTTTCATTACTCTCAAATCTGTCTGGAGGTCAACAGCACTCAGCATGTAAAAATAAGGTCCGGATTTTCAACTTCAATGTGCAGTCAGTCAGTGCTACTATATGGATCAGAGACTTGGCGCATCATAAAGAGCATCTCAAACAAACTACAGACCTTCATTATTAGTTGTCTTCGCTCAATTCCACTCAAGATCAGATGGCCGGTCAGAAAAGATCAGCAATAGGAACCCGTGGGAGCAAACCAACCAGGAACCGATTGTGAAACAAATAGGCAGGAAGAAATGGAGATTGATTGGCCATACTCTAAGGAAGCCATCAAGTGACATCACTAGACAAGCCATTGCTCGAGTGGAACCCGAAAAGGAAGCGGCGAGTTGGTCGTCAGTGCAAGGGTGACTTGGAGGAGGTCATGTGAAGAGGAGATGAAAGCATGTGGGCAGACTTGGAGTCAGGTGAAGACTCTAGCAGAGAACCGAACGTAATGGAGACGCACGGCTGAAGCCCTATGTTCCTCTAGGAATTAAAGGAAATAATAATAATATGATGATGATGAAACCACTCTTCAGTTGTTGCACATACGTTTGTTTTATGAATACGTCATAAAACACAAATTCCGATAAAATTACCAAGATGTTTATCCTTTCGCTACTATTATGTTACCTATTTATTCTTTATTGAGGTAAAATAATAATACTATATGTATACCACAAAATCGACCTGACATTAATGACACACTGGAGTATTTGAAGCCTCAGTTTTAATAGAACTTACAGCTACAAAACATTATCTGATAAGTATGAGTAGGATCGTTCTTTTTTGGATAGATATTTATGGGAACTCGTTTCATCAAATTAGTCATACTGTTTTGTAGGATTCTGCTCACAATCAGCTTTATCTCATCGAGTATACTCAATATTTTCCAGTGGAAACCAAATATATTTGTTATAATGAAGGAATGAAGGGTCGTCCTAGGGTGACATGGAGGAGATCGTGTGAGGAAGAGATGAAAGTGTTTGGTCAGTCGTGGACCCAGTTGAAGAGGACGGCAGAAAACAGGACAAAGTGGAGATCTGTTGTTGAAGCCCTATGTTCCCACTCGGAACGCAAGGGAGTAATAATAATAACAATAACTTGTATACCTAACTTTACTTCCATAGATAACAATCATCTCTATGTGTATGTCACCACAGTTAGAGTCTCTTCTTTCATTACTGAAACTGCTGAAGGTCTTAAAGACACTAAGGCTTTAAAGCTTAAATATGCGGAGACGTGATTTCTTTAAAGTTGAAAGAATTTCGAGTTGAATAATAAATCCAAAGGCATGTGGTAACTGACTGTTTTATTTTTAAATAGCTTTAGTATCTCTACCACCTGAGTATTAAAAAAAGCTGCTGACTTATTCTAGGAATAATCTACGTTGTTTCATCTAACTCAGTTAGAAAATGTAACTCAGCAAAAGCCTGAACACAGCCTTGTGAACAACCAGTATATAAATAGATGCAGAACAATATTTATGAGTTACCATTTGGAATTATGTATATATTGCCTATATTATCTTACAGAAATTATAAGTATACATTCTGAATAAACCAGCTCAAAATATTACAGTGGTGTCTTAAAGCACTGGCATCAATGAAATTTGATCATACATGTATAGTTACGTAGAGATTGTTTTGCATTCCAGGCTGAATGAAATGATACTGTAACAATTTCTAAGAGAGATTTCACTCAATTTAATCTGGAAGTAACTGTTAAGGCTTTCCTATTGACTTTTGAATTATGTAAACATTCTTGTTGTATTACTGAGAAGGATTATATTCTGTACAACTGATTATCGTTTGATCTAAAAAAGAATGAAAAGAAAAATGGTTGCAATACAATGCTAGCAGAACTCTGACTAAGTAAAAATCTTAATCAAATACATATCAAGGCACTAAATTCAGTAGTGCATATGAAGATAATTCGGAAAATTCTATGAGATTTTCTGAAATCTTATTCTATATGGGCATTGAATTCTATGTGACAAGATAATCAGTAACAGAATTAGAACTACTGCCAGCCATAGTTCTTCATTTATTGTTTAGGCTAATATGCATTCCAGGTAGTATTCACTACAGTAGATTATCTATGAACAAAGCAGTCATCTGATTAAAGTTCATATAGGTTACATTAATGTAACCCTGTTATTGAAATAAAACACAATTTTCAAGTATCAATTTTAGGGATCCCTACAATCCCTAAAATCAGTACTTGAATATCAATGAGATGCTCACAAGCGACTGACCCTATTCAGGTAGGTAGTTACCTGGAGTTCTAGTGAGAAGTCGTGACCAGCAGGGTGCAGCAGGTCGGGTGTGAGGACAAATACTCGCGGAAGACATTGGCTAGGGGTCGCGCTATGTCGTGAATTGGCAGAAGCTGGGATTCATGGGCCATTGGATCAGGTCCCGGTGGCTTAATGCTCTATAAGATCGCCTTGTAACCAGAAGGTGCTGGGTTGGAACCCCGGTGGCTGCGTACTGATGAAGAGTCCCAAACTAGGCTGATGAAATAGCTGTCCAATACTCCCTGACAGGTTTCCCAATGGTTCTCTAACCGAGTAAGCTTCTGATGTAATCATGTAACCAAACACAATTTTATTCATTTTTAGTAAGATAGATTCTTAAAGGATTCTACTACTTCATAAAAATGTGTCTATACCATAAATGCACATGTATGTTAGCATACATTGATAATTACAGTCTATAAGGCAAAATAGTGTAATAGCCTTTTGAATTATTCTAATATAAGCAAAACGTTCACATAAATTAACCTGTAAAATGTCAGTGTAAATAGAAAGGCTTCACAAATATTACTTATCAACATACATCTCTATAGTCTTACTATAAAGACAGTCATTTTAATTAGGCATATAATTCAAATTATTGATTGCTTCAGGTAGTAGTAGAAGTACATTTTACTATAAGGCCATTTTACCTTATAGTCTATTTTGTTTATACCATCTACTGTTCTTCTTTTTTATTCAGAATAATGTAAGAAATGCCTTTCATGCCTAGTTTTAAAAGTTTAGAAATCTTTGTGAAAATAAAGGAACTCTGATAAGTAGAAAATGACATACATCACCACAAAACATACTTTACCGCCATGCGTAGAGAGTACACTTTCCAAGATTCTCAAGTCACACTTTACTCAATATGTAACTAAATTACGTACAGCTCAATCAGTATACAAAGGCAATTTCTTTGTCTGTTCATTAGTGTTATTCAGGCTCCACTGACTAGATATGTAGTGTAATAATGAGGTCATATGTCATAGTGCTGCTGTGTACTACATTATAAGACATTAGTAGAGGTTTGAAGTGTTATGTCACTTAAATTCCCGATCATACCGCAATCCTAGTTGATATAAACTAGACCAATAAATTGGTTTTCATCCAGTAAGATATTCATCAGACGTGGTATCGATCTTTGTAGACATATCAATCATAAGGAGCTCTGTAAGTTTCATAAGCAGATGCTGACAAATCTGAGATGAAATAAACTTGTACATGTCTTGTGCACATACACATAACTCTAGCTGAAATCGTGACATGGAACCTGATATATATATATATATATTCCCACTAAATCACATAAAAGAAAAAGGCGTTCAGCAAACAGTTACTCTTTCCAGCGATAACATTCTCAAGCTGTACAGTCGCATATTTATAGTACATTTTCTTAAGAACAAAATGAATATTCCCAAAGATTTGTCATTGGAATTGTAAATTTTAGACAACAAATTTTGTTAATGGGTTAGAAACCAAAATAAGATTAAATAGGTAAGTTGACTGAAAGAATCTAATTGTAGGGATGGAGTAAAGCTCAACTAAAATTCAACAAAAGACAAGTTAACAACACTGGTAATAAGGGGTAGTGGCTTAATAAAATACTGAGGAAGAAAATATTATACAATTAAGAAACAAACAAGCAGGAGAAAGACGAAACAAAAATTACTCGTTTATTGTTAAGATAGGTTACGTCCGTTGTAGATTTATTGACTGAACAAACTTCTTTTGTATGCAGAGTTCAAGTTCTAACATGGTATACGAGCTCGCCTTGTAACCAGAAGGTCCTTGGTTCGAATCCCGGTGGGTGCGTACTGATGAAGAGTCCCAAACTAGGACGAAACAGCTGTCCAGTACTCCCAGCTTGTTTTCCAATGGT